TCCTAGCTATATCCCAGTTAATTAACCCTCAGTTTTAACCACCAGTATAGCCGCCATGCGTTGTTCAGTAAATTACCCCATGTATATTCTACTTTCAGAACTTGATTAAAGTTTTTAAAAAACCTAATGGATTATTAAGTTTTTAGTATTCACATCTACTCATGCGGCGACAAACTTTTTATTTTGAAGTGGTTCTGGGCCATTAGAGTAATTTTTGTAGACATTGTTTTTTCTTGTTCAGTATGGAGGAAGTCGGCGTGAGTGGTTGGGGGTGGGGGAGGGGGCATTACATCTAACGAAAGGTGATCATCTCATAAAAAGTGGTCTTTAATTAAAATTTTGTATTTAGCAATCTAAAAAAGCAATAAGTAAAAGCTATCAAGTTTTTTTTTACAATAACACAGCCACTTATGATAATCGGAATACATAATCACGAGCGATTCTATTTTTAGATCGGGACCCCCTCCCCCCCCCCCCCCCCATTTCATCCGAGTTGTGAAAACGCACCACTTTTATCTTTAAACCAAAACATTTTTGTCTCTCCCACCCAGCCGTATCACGCGCCTACATACTTACTGGCATTACGTGTCATTGAACAATAAATATTCCCTTCTAATAAGTCGAGTGAAGCTCCGTTGTATTTTTTTTTTACCCCGACCAGCAGTTGAGCACTCAAAGCTGCGCGATTCTCTGGAACCGAGAACTCAAAGACCTCGCCCATCAGCTCGGTTTGAGAGCGTCAACCCGCCCTCCATCCCCCCTCGGGTTCCTGCCCGCCATCAGATACCGATCCCCCCCCCCCCGACCATACACATCCGGTTTAGACTGGCCTTTAATCGCACTTTCATCAATAATGGACGTGGCCGGTCGGGCGTGAACGTAACAACAGAATTAAAGAATTACTTATGGCCATCGATCGGCACATCAAAGGCTCGCTACTGGCTTTTCACCGCCAGCTCCACGAGACCCCGGCTCCCGGAGTCGGGCGTGAGCTCTCAATTACAGAGTACATTCAGGCAAAACGGCTGCGGCATTTTTTTTTAAAAATCCAAATGTCTCGTCTGCAGTGCTCATTCTCTCTGTCTGTGTTTTATGTTGAAGTCGTAGTCTGCTTCCATTCACAGCTTACATCCTTAAGGATTATATGTTTAAATTTACCTCCATTAGTACGTTACCTCCTTAGTATAGTCTGTCCAAAGCCACTATCCTAGAATATTTTATTTAAACTACCTCCCTTAGTATATTCTGTCCAAACTAACCTCCCTTTGAATATCCTCACTTAAACTTACCTCCCTTAATATATTCTGTTCAAACTTACCTCCCTCAGTAAATTCTGTTTAAATTTACCTCCCTTAGTATATTCTGTCTAAACTAACCTCCATTTGAATATTCCCGCTTAAACTAACCTCCCTTAGTATATTCTGTTTAAACTTACCTCTCTTAATATATTCTGTCCAAACTAATCTCCCTTAGTTTATTTTGCCAAAACTTACCTCCCTTTTTATTATTTAATTTACTTCCCTTTAAAAGTTATCCTAACTTGATCCCTTTACTAATACTATATACTATTATAACATACCGTCTCTCAGTATTGTCATCATTTGATTCCCTTTTTATCATAAGTTACCCCCCCCCCCCCCCCTTTAAAAGTTGTCCTGACTTTATTCCCTTTCATATTCCATCAAAACTTACCTCCCTCAAAAATATTGTCCCAAGTTGCCTCCCTTAAAGTCCTAGCCCCCATTGACAGCATACAAATCCATCTTTTTTTCTCTCCCCCCTGTACATTTCCACATTTCCTGGCTAAACTTTATTCCCTCGCGTTCATACGCTGCAGATAAAAGTTAACTTAGAGGATGAGAGTAACCCCCCTTGAAAAGCCAGCTACAAAGGAGAATTTGTGAGCTCCGCTTGGCCTACCAGAGGAGGCCCGGGCTCTTAGATAGCCATCAGCGCTTGCTGACTGGGCTACTGGGTGCACGGAGGTGCTGTAAAACTTGGGGGGAGGGGGGAGGATGGACACGGTGTGCCGATGAAATGAGTTGATACTAGATGGGTGGGTGACTCGATTAAAGTCCGACGCGATCCAAACACATTAGGAAATAGCTTTGCGAATTAGTTGCGCTGATGAGAGACCATCGCGCTGGGGATCTGCGCGGGGGTGATGCGTATCAGGACGATAACTCTCTTATGGGGGGAAGAGGGGGGAGCACCCCGGGTCCCGTGTTTGATCGAGATGTGCCGATAGGTTGCATAGAACCGGCTGGAGTGACGCCCGGCCCGTACCGTTGCCGGGGCGGTTGCTAGGGATTCGGATGTCTTGTTTGTTTTTGTGATGGAAAATACTTGTAAAGCCGTTATGGCGGTCTTTGGAATGGCGCCCGCCTCCCGACTCATTGCGGGAATTATTCACACTAATTGTTTATGATTTAGCTAAGCGTTTCTCCCCCCTCCCCTCAGCGTTACACGATACGACAACACGGGTATAATAACGGATAGAAATCTCGTATCTACCTATTTATCTCTGGACAGGCTTTTTTTATTGAATTGATATTCATTCGCGGCGCTTGTGTTTCTTTTCATTATTTGCCCCTCCTAATTGTCTCCCATTGTTGTGGGGTAATGTCCCCTGGCAAAACTGGCCTTTATTTGTTTGATTCTCTCCCTGTGTTTAGACTGTACAAAGGAGAATGTGAAAAATACGACTTGTCCTTGCATCCTAGTTTTTATTTCACCCACAATAGAGATAAAGCCTCGTACGTCCAATCCTCTAGCACAAATTTTAAAAAAAAAACGCGATAAAAAAAACCGGAACGAAACAAAACGGTACATCGCAGTGGAGATTAAATAATACAAATGATAAAATGTGAATATAAAAATTAGCTGTTAAAAATGTAAAACTAAAAACGTAACTTAATGAACAAATAAAGATTTTAGATTAATAAATAATAAACAACAAAATAAAATGTGAATATAAAAAAAGTCTAAAAAATAATATTTAAAACTAAAAATTTAATTGAATGTACAAAAAAAGGATTTTACCTTAAATGATAAAAAAATTATAAAATGTTAATATAAAATAACCTATGAAAACAAATGTTTCAAACTAAACATGTAATAGAATAAATAAACGAATATTTGAGATAGAATAATAAAAATGTTAAAACATTTAAATAAACTAAACATAAGATAATTTAAAACTAAAAATTGAACTGAATGAAAAAAAAAGTAGTTAGTTCTTGGTTGGACAAAGACTATGAAAGCAAATCCAAAAAGAAAAGCAGACTGAAATCGAAATCAATAAGCATAACAAGTTGGCACGCATACTTTAATTGTGTTGGAGAGGATCCCTTCCAACACTAAAATTAAGAAAGAAGAAGAAGACTAAGCAGTCGATAATAAATGACGCCAAGTTATCTTATCTTGTACATAACACAATGCAAGGCCTAATTCTATTCTCACGCAAAAGATGTCACAAAGGTCTTTTACCCTTCCCACTATGTAATTTTAACAAAAATTAACACGTCTGTCAATATTTTTGCTTTGTTTTTAAATATAATAATGACAGGGAACCCCTCCTACCACCAATTACATATAAATCAGTACGACCCTCTACTATATGGTTACACCTTGATTTATAAAAGACCCCCCCCCCCACCCTTCCCCCCCCCCCCCACCCCACACACACGCACGCAACGCACACACATTGTCAACTTTTATATGCACTTGTAGATTCAAGAATATTTCCTACAAATATCCTTCAAGACAGTCCATAAATATCTTACAAGACAATCAACAAATATCCTTCAAGACAGTCCATAAATATCTTACAAGACAATCAACAAATATCCTTCAAGATAGTCCATAAATATCTTACAAGACAATCAACAAATTTCCTTCAAGACAGTCCATAGATATCTTACAAGACATTCAACAAATATTCTTCAAGTTCAAGACAGTCCATAAATATCTTACAAGAAAATCAAATAATATAATTCAAAACAGTCCATAAGTATCATACAAGATAGTCCACAAATATCCTGCAAGATAGTCCATAAATATCTTACAAGACAATCAACAAATATCATTCAAGACAGTCCATAAATATCTTACAAGATAGTCCACAAATATCCAACAAAAAAGTCCACGAATATCATGCTACTGTTTCCTTTTGCAGCATGCATTTTTGTTGTTGCCCCTCCCCCCTCATGTGTATATATAATTTCTAGACACAATCAATTTAATAAATAATGCGTATAGTCTTGGGTGTAAAAAAAAAATCACCAGCCAATTTTTATTTAACGTTTAATCCCGTAACAGTTGAATCACAAATCCGCATTCAACTGTAAAGCTTAACTTACTAGCATTCAAGAAAAAGAAATACAATATTTTCTTAACCCAATATACCAATCTCTTTTTGAAGGATCGTGTAGGCCCTACTTTGATCTTTACTGGACAAAACTTAGGCAAGTGTCCATTCGGGCATTTGTCGCTTTCGGGCAAGTGTCTATTCGGGCATTTGTCGCATTTGGGCAAGTGTCCATTCGGGCATTTGTCGCATTCGGGCAAGTGTCCATTCGTGCATTTGTCACATACGGGCAAGTGTCTTTCGGGAAAACGTCCGGCTCCCCATTACATTATTTAAGACATTACTTTATGATATACGACTTTATATAAAACATGGCTTAGTGATACAAGGCTTTATGTAATACAGTGATACTTGAATGTATGTGTCATTCATGTATCATTTAAGTAACAGTTATTTAGCTTACCCTAAAATGATTTTTCTGTCCTATATATCATGACTTGATACATAACCTCCACCTTGACCTGGCCCATGACCTTGACCCGATTCATGACCTTAGTCTGACTAGTGACCCTCTAGATCGACCTTAACTATGACTTGACCGTGTCCACTACCTCGACTTACTTCATTCCCTGGATCTGACCTTGGTCTCACACATGCCCTTGACCTAACCTCTGACCTTCTCTGCCCTCAGGTATGGTTCAAGAACAGACGGGCCAAATGGCGGAAACAAAAGCGGGAGCAGGAAGCCGCCGACAAGCGCGTACATGATGGGGGCGCCGGCAGCCAGGACAGATCGGGCGTCCGCAGCCCAACCTCGGGGTGCCGCAGCCCCACCTCGGGGTGCCGCAGCCCCACCTCGGGGTGCCGCAGCCCAACCTCGGGGTGCCGCAGCCCAACCTCGGGAGACGAGGTCGAGGACTCCATCTGTGTGGACGACAAGGACGACGTGGGGGAGGCCGGGTTCTCGCCCGACTCGAGCACGGAGACACACCAGAGGGCGGGGCAGCTCCAGGGGGTGGACATGAGGAAAATACCCGACACCCTGGGGGACGCCCCCGCCCTCAGAGCCCAGGCGGGGCGCGATGAATTCTCAGACGAGGAGCTTTCTCCGTGAAGCTAACGTCACGAAAACTGAAATTTTACCGCACGGGAAAACGTTTTGCTTCAAAATAATTAAAAATAAAAATTCACGAATCCTCTCAAAGAAAGCTGACACCCCTCGCTAAAACAATACAAATGTACTGTCGCCCAGCAACCAGATTCAGGGCAAACGTCAGAGGTCATCCAAGCTACGCCAGATTTAGCAGAAGACTCTTCCGGAAGTGCATCAGTGTTACCAAGCAACGGATATAAACTGAGCTGTAAAGTTGAGCACTGGATACATTTCATGTGTAATACGTTTTCTTTAAAGTTCTTGTCATATGTAATTACAAATAATTTGACGTATTAATATTTCTCGTAACCTGCTTCAATGGAATTTCTATGAAGGCTTTATTCGTCCATTTTTAGCAGTTTTTATCATAACCCCGAGAGGGTTAATTAAATTTTTTCCATGATATTTTACGTATGTGCAACCGGCTGTAAGCCGCCATCTTATAAAAAACAATCAATTATCATGTAATAATTAATTTAAAATGGTGATGTAAACCTTACGTTATAAGATCTATCAAAATATCGGGCATCGAATAAAAGTTTGATCAGCCTATGTGTTGATGTATTCTCCATTTTTATGGAATTTTTGGCCGGTAAAGCCGCTATTTTTATTGAGTTTAGGCTAATATAATCGTCAATTTGATTGAGTTTTGTCTGATATAGCCGCCATTTTGATGGTATTTTGGCTGATATAGCCGCCATTTTGATGGTATTTTAGGCTGATATAGCCGCCATTTTGATGGTATTTTGGCTGATATAGCCGCCATTTTGATGGTATTTTAGGCTGATATAGCCGCCATTTTGATGGTATTTTGGCTGATATAGCCGCCATTTTGATGGTATTTTAGGCTGATATAGCCGCCATTTTGATGGTATTTTAGGCTGATATAGCCGCCATTTTGATGGTATTTTAGGCTGATATAGCCGCCATTTTGATGGTATTTTAGGCTGATATAGCCGCCATTTTGATGGTATTTTAGGCTGATATAGCCGCCATTTTGATGGTATTTTAGGCTGATATAGCCGCCATTTTGATGGTATTTTAGGCTGATATAGCCGCCATTTTGATGGTATTTTAGGCTGATATAGCCGCCATTTTGATGGTATTTTAGGCTGATATAGCCGCCATTTTGATGGTATTTTAGGCTAACGCACATTGTCGCTTAAAGTCCCCTTCGGGACAAGACAAGACCAATTTAAAATGTCCTCTTAAGGACACAACTACACAACGTAAAATGTCCTCTTAAGGACACAACTACACAACGTAAAATGTCCTCTTAAAGGCACAACTAGACAACGTAAAACGTCCTCTTAAGGACACAACTAGACAACGTAAAATGTACTCTTAAGGACACAACAGACAACGTAAAATGTCCTCTTAAGGACACAACTAGACAACGTAAAATGTCCTCTTAAGGACACAACTAGACAACGTAAAATATCCTTTTAATGATACGACTAGACAACGTAAAATGTCCTCTTAAGGACACAACTAAACAACGTAAAATGTCCTCTTAAGGACACAACTAGACAACGTAAAATGTCCTCTTAAGGACACAACTAAACAACGTAAAATGTCCTCTTAAGGACACAACTAGACAACGTAAAACGTCCTCTTAAGGACACAACTAAACAACGTAAAATGTCCTCTTAAGGACACAACTAGACAACGTAAAATGTCCTCTTAAGGATACAACTAGACAACGTAAAATGTCCCCTTCAGGACATGACAAGACCAACGTAAAACGTCCTCTTAAGGACACAACTAGACAACGTAAAACGTCTCACTGAGAACAGTCATCGATTGAGCCGCGTAAAACGATCCCGTCGTAATGTGCCGTTGTAAGACGATACGGCTTTCAAGTGACGTTGTTAACCTTCGTCGCTGTTGAGAGGTGTCGTTGTAAAGTAAGTCATCAACCTGGTGCGGCGTTAAACCGTGAAGCTGTATAAGTAGCGTCGTTATAGAAACGTTGTTCAAGTCAAACATGACCAAAGTCCAAAAACACGTTTGAAACATGGACAGCTAATTAACAAATTTCTTACATTCTGTTAAAACTATTGTTCTAATTTCTAAACTCTGTGTGTAATAAAACAACAAATTTATGCTCTTAAAATTGTTATCGAATATATATATATATAATATATATATATATATATATATATATATATATATATACACCTGTAAGTTAAAACTATTGGAGTGCATGCCATTGTGTGTATATGTGATCGTCCGGCTAGTCTTTGGTTTATGCAAGAAACATTTCTCTTTAATAGAAGAGTTTTATGTATGTACCATGCCAATGTTTTCTTTAATAAATACATTTTCTGTCATTCTATGTCAAAGTTCTTCCATTTTTTGCCTGCTAATGTTTCGTCCGTTAATTCTATATATCTCGTCTGTTAGTTATGCTGATATCTAGTCTATTAGTTCTGTAAATATGTCGTCTGCCAGTTCTGTAAATCTGTCGTCTGCTAGCTCTGTAAATCTGTCGTCTGCTAGCTCTGTAAATCTGTCGTGTTTGTAAATCTGTCGTGTTTGTAAATCTGTCGTCTGCTAGCTCTGTAAATCTGTCGTGTTTGTAAATCTGTCGTCTGCTAGTTCTGTAAATCTGTCGTCTGCTATCCCTGTAAATCTGTCGTCTGCTAGCTCTGTAAATCTTTCGTCTGCTAGCTCTGTAAATCTGTCGTCTGCTATCCCTGTAAATCTGTCGTCTGCTAGTTCTGTAAATCTGTCGTCTGCTATCCCTGTAAATCTGTCGTCTGCTAGTTCTGTAAATATGTCGTCTGCTATCCCTGTAAATTTGTCGTCTGCTAGCTCTGTAAATCTTTCGTCTGCTAGCTCTGTAAATCTGTCGTCTGGTAGTTTTGTAAATCTGTCGTCTGGTAGCTCTGTAAATCTGTCGTCTGCTAGCTCTGTAAATCTGTCGTCTGCTAGCTCTGTAAATCTGTCGTCTGCTAGCTCTGTAAATCTGTCGTCTGCTAGCTCTGTAAATCTGTCGTCTGCTAGCTCTGTAAATCTGTCGTCTGCTAGCTCTGTAAATCTGTCGTCTGCTAGCTCTGTAAATCTGTCGTCTGCTAGCTCTGTAAATCTGTCGTCTGCTAGCTCTGTAAATCTGTCGTCTGCTAGTTCTGTAAATCTGTCGTCTGCTAGCCCAAGATCCCCACGACCCGGGCTCAGCAGATGTCAGGCAGATTGTAGATTACGTTGTCACAGGGGGGCGATAAAGTTTTCATCTAGCACCCTCTCACATTTCTCCACCGCCCCCTCCCCACCATACAACTGTAAAAAAAAACGTTCGTCACGACAAATAGAATATCCCATTTCATTGGAGCCAATTCAAACCATCCACGTCAGCTGAGTCAAAATGATGACGTCATTAAAAAATAGGATCATCTAAAAAGGAACAAAAGTAATTAAAGTTTACGCTAAATTAAACCAAAACAAAACTACATCAATATTCTTTTTGTTTTATATTATTAAAAAAAAAGAAATATATTTTTTTGTATACTTTAATCAATCATCATAGGAAAACGAAAAAGGACAATTTAAAGATAATTAAAAAAACATTTTTTTTTGGGGGGGGGGGGGGGGGAAGTAGGCAGTATTTTAGTTTCTATTAAATTTATTAAATTTATTACGTATTGGAAAAGAAAGCAACACTGTATCCGTTTAAACTTGCGCGTAAGGGGTCATCCATAAATGATGTCAAGCTTTTTTTGGACGATTTTTACCTCCCCCCCCCCCTCCGTCAAACGTCGTCAAAAAAGCCAGACCCCCCCCCCCCTAAAATAACTTCACATCTCGGCTTACAACCCCCTCAAAATTGCAGTTGAATTTTTCTTAAAACATTGATATTTTTCCAAAATCTTGTGATAACTCTGTCAACATAAAGTATTTTGATCAATTCCTATTACAGTTTATTAAAACCGTTTTCTAAAACGCAAAATAACGGCTAAAACTCGTTTTCTAACATTGCTTTTTTTATAATGCAAAAGTGTGACATCACACCATCTGAACCCCTCCCCCCCAACTCCCATCCCCCTCATTACACACCGTCACAAATACACGGACCCCCCCCCCCCCTCCCTGTACGAGTGCGATGTCCTTAAATTTACGACACCTAATGGATGAAAATCGACGTCTAAAATACATTTTAAGGAAATGCAGTTTTAAACGATTTAATTTCAATATTGAATTATATTGTTGTCCAGCTAAAAGAATCGGAAAAATAAATGATCATCCCACTTTTTAGTTTTATCGATTAAGTGGTGCTAATATTCTGATTAAGAGTTCTAGTTCTTCCGGAAGCCAAAATTGGTAATTGGAAGCTTCACAAGTTATCATTCTTGCCCTGACTAAATTGGAAAACGTTTACAATCGGTTAAATTCTTTAAAGTCCTCGGATTGTCTTGAATAAAGCAGGATTTAGATTGATGGAGGGTTCTTTCACAGACACGTGTACTAGTTTTAGTTTTGTTTCGTAGATAAAGGTCACGCTTTTAATTTTTTTAAGAAAAAGGTCTGAAAGAAATACTAAACACTGTTTAGAATTTTTGAAACGGAGGCTGGAAAGAAAAAAAAATATTGTTTTTAATTACGGAAGATACACTTACAAACTATTTTCTTGTGTTTTTTAATTACATTAAAAACTGATAAAAACTTGAATTACTTATTTCTTCCTTTATTTAATTCTTATATAAATAAGCTTTCTTTAGAAAAAAAAAAACAACCGAAAACTCACATAAATGACTTAACAAATAAAGTCCTGTAAAAAGTTTAAATAATTTTTTTTTTTAATTTAAGAGTAAGGAATAGCATAATCTGTCGCCGGTAAAAAACAAAACCCAGTATTCAAATTTCCAAGAAAAATGTTAATGCTGCTAAAATCATAACTATCAGTAGATTACATCTAGAACTGGAGAAGATTACATTTTTTTTTTAAATCTTAAGTATGAATACAAAAACCCATTAAAGTAAGCCTCATCTTTCTAGCAGGAACATGCTGAAAGCCTTGGCAGACTGCTTGGGGAGGGGGGGGGGGAGAGAGAGAACAAAAAATACGAATTCATTACCAAAAGAAAATAATGCAGACGGGGACAACTAAATGGAACAAAAAAAAATGCTAACATTGGTGCAAAAGAACCCAACTACCATAGACTTCCCTAACCCCTACTGGGGTGTAAAATGTCAAGTACTAGATTAACATTCTAAAAAGGGGCGCGCGCACACACCCACACACACACACACACAAACACAAAAACACACACTAGTCCAAGTTTAGTGACGTCCGTCTACTAAATACACACACACACACTCACAAACACACACAAACACACACACACACACACACACACATATATATATATATATATATATATATATATATATATATATATATATATATATATATATATATATATATATATATATATATATATATATGTGTGTGTGTGTGTGTGTGTGTGTGTGTGTGTGTTTGTGAGTGTGTGTTTGTGAGTGTGTGTGTGTGTGTGTGTTTGTGTGTATGTATTAAAATATGTACCTCTGCACATCCATAGCCTAGACATAGCATCTGGAGTGTCACACTGGACCCTGGTCAAGCTCGCTGGACCCCGCAGACTACCACCTGGAAACCCCACTCTCCCACCCGTCAGGCGATGAGCCGCTGATCGCCTAAGCAAATCTCCCCGCGATCCTATCGCCTTCAAACCCAGCCGAGCAAAACCCAGCTCTCCCGAGGGCTGACTCACCTGGTCTGTTCCCAGGACTACCCGTCCAGCACCGGCACAGCCTGCCGTTTCCCAACGGAGGGCGTCAAAGCAAAAACACCGATAGGATCAGTGTGCCGCAAGATTAGCCTTGGATTATTGATGCCATTAAAGGTTTTTTTTTCTCTCCCCTTATTTCAGACGCGTTAGGAATATGTTCAATCTATGGAAGAATAAATTCCTCACACCGGTTATGTCCAAAAATTAATTCAATGCAAATGGATTTTTTGAAAAGTGTAAAAATATTTACTGTACCGTCTACTGCAATAGGAGATTAAAGGTGCGCAGACACAACAGTAACGTAGACTCGTACACGTATCAGTTGTGTAGGCTAGTTGCTTATATGGTAAGTAAATCAGTGGGACGTCTACTTGAGCGTATCACACCTAGTGCTACTACACCTGGGCTAGTATATGCTGGAGTTAGTGGACGTCACTAAACTTGGGCTAGTATATGCTGGAGTTAGTGGACGTCACTAAACTTGGGCTAGTATATGTCGGATTTAGTAGACGGACGTCACTAAACTTGGGCTAGTATATGTCGGATTTAGTAGACGGACGTCACTAAACTTGGGCTAGTATATGCCGGATTTAGTAGACGTAACTAAACTTAGGCTAGTATATGCCGGATTTAGTGGACGGACGTCACTAAACTTGGGGTAGTATATGTCGGATTTATACGGACGTCACTAAACTTGGGCTAGTATATACCGGATTTAGTAGACGGACGTCACTAAACTTGGGCTAGCATATGTCGGATTTAGTAGACGGACGTCACTAAACTTGGGCTAGTATATGCCGGATTTATACGGACGTCACTAAACTTGGGCTAGTATATGCCGGATTTAGTAGACGGACGTCACTAAACTTGGGCTAGTATATGCCGGATTTAGTAGACGGACGTCACTAAACTTGGGCTAGTATATGCCGGATTTAGACGGACGTCACTAAACTTGGGCTAGTATATGCCGGATTTAGACGGACGTCACTAAACTTGGGCTAGTATATGCCGGATTTATACGGACGTCACTAAACTTGGGCTAGTATATGCCGGATTTAGTAGACGGACGTCACTAAACTTGGGCTAGTATATGCCGGATTTAGTAGACGGACGTCACTAAACTTGGGCTAGTATATGCCGGATTTATACGGACGTCACTAAACTTGGGCTAGTATATGCCGGATTTAGTGGACGTCACTAAACTTGCCGGGGGGGGGGGGGAGACTTTGTCAAATCCATGGGGAACTTTAAAACAAGTAGAAGAACATTGAAAATGTAAAATTATATACATTGGAGCAAAATTAAAAAAAAAATCAATGTACAAATATATACTTTAACCTTCACCAGGTAATTTTAAGTGCTTCCCCCACCCCTCAAATTTTTTACGCCCCCCCCCCTCCCGCCCCTTCAGGAGAAAAAGTCGGACGCCCGACAATAAAATTCCCGAAAATGTAATCAGCACACTACATATTAGACCGTCACCATCTTGGCTCTCAAGTAAATGTAAGTCTTAAGACAAGCGCCAACGCGTGCCACATTAGCTGAGAGAGGGGACGGTGATGAATATACCGTCAGAGTTAAATGTGCGGAAAGAGCTTAAATACCACAGGAGCTTAAAGAACATCAAGAATGAAACGGTTACGGGAATAATATTTTTCATAGAAACTTTATGCAACTGAGGTAATTTGTAAGCTGATACTTGACAGCTGGAAAGATCTGTAAACAAGATGGAACTCTAATGAACTGGAAGTGCTTGAATTATGGATAGAGCTTAATGTTTGCTGCGCTTAATTGCCTGAAGCTGATAAATGCACACACACACGCGCATACGTATATATATATATATATATATATATATATATATATATATATATATATATATATATATATATATATATATATATATATATATATATATATATATATATATACATATATTATACACATGATTTTCTTCTTCTTACGGTCATCTTTTTACCCTTATAATTGTATGCATATATAGTTTAAAATCATCATCGCTCAGTGGTACAGTAGACTAACGCCCCACCACCCAACTTTCATGGTACAGTAGTCTAACGCCCCACATTGTACAGTAGTCTAACGCCCCACATGGTACAGTAGACTAACGCCCCACCACCCAACTTTCATGGTACAGTAGTCTAACGCCCCACATGGTACAGTAGTCTAACGCCCCACATGGTACAGTAGTCTAACGCCCCCCATGGTACAGTAGTCTAACGCTTCACATGGTACATTAGTCTAACGCCCCACATGGTACAGTGTAGTCTAACGCCCCACATGGTACAGTAGTCTAACGCCCCACCATCCAACTTTCATCTTTGCTCAGCACTTTGAACCCTCCCCATCACGTGACCAGTTTCCTGGTCTTTATCTTTGCACGAACGATTTAAAATTTCACTTTCACCTGTTGTGGCTTCCTTGGCCATCATTTTATTTTAATTTATGATATAGTGTTGCTAGCCCTAAGCTAGCCCATCTTTAAACTTGCATTGGATGGAAAGTAGTTTCTGAGTTCATAATAATACCCAAAAAAATAATGCTGGTAGAAAAGTTGGTAGAATCATTTACCTATCAGAACCCCTTCCCCTCCCCCACCCCCGGTCTGCCCCTATCGGATAGTTACCTACAGTGACTCTTCCCGCCCTGGGCACTGTCCAAATGTCACATCATACGGTACATGAGATACCATAGAGCTCTCGCTTTAGATGGTATCGGATAAGTCGTGATTGGAATTGACAGGGATTATTAAAGAGCTGAGCTAAATTGTCAAGCCCACTTGTCAGCTCCTACAATACCTGGCCCGCTTCCCGAGCCGCATCAGGAGCCATGTCTGTGGGATCCCTGTCAGCTAGACGTTGGCTCTTTGTGGCCCTCAAATCGTCCTATCTGTTTGTGTTCGGCAGCTCTCAAGGGAGAGAATACAAGGTTTGAAAAAGGGGAGACAATCACCAGTCGCGGTCAAACAAAGGCGGTGTGAACTGTGTTCAAACTGTTTTCCTGGTTTTGTTAAAAGACAAAACTCTGGTTATCCGGAACGACATCCCCCCATTTCCTACTTATAACTCTGACTGACATACACCACCTCCTATTTATAACCCTACGGAGACACACCACCTCCTATTTATAACCCTACGGAGACACACCACCTCCTATTTATAACCCTAATCGACATACACCATTTCCTATTTATCCTATTTATAACCCAGACCAACACCAACCATCGCCTATTTAAACCATCTATTTTATAACCCGCGCCGACACACACCACCTCTCATTTAAAACCCAGACCGAAATTCCAGTCCTGTGTTCAACCGACACATTTCGTCTTATATCTATATTCCTGACCGACCCCCTCCTTTATAATCCTGACTGATACGACACCAACCGTCTTCTATTAATATTCCATCTTACAATACAGCCCCCTCAAACACCCCAAACGTTACTTCCTGTTCTATTTATAATTCTGACACAGAGGCTATCAACTTAGTACAACTAGCACAACAGTGGCGTCGCTAGTTCGGGTGTCACCGATGCGGCACCTAATGGTGTTCCCCCCCCCCCAATCCATGAAAGAAAAAAAAATATATTTAACATATGTATCAAAACGTTTGGCAACTCTTTTAATGGCTGACGAAAAGCGTCAAGGTGAGGCAAGTGAACCAGTTTTATGTATCTATTGCTCGCTTTTTATTGCTTATGGATTTCGTTATTAATTTGTGTCTCTTAGATTTTTTAACTTAATTTATTTACAATGGATTAATACATTTCAAAAGTTGTGTTGTCGGGATTTGTCAATTTTGCTCTTAAAAGACTATTTAACTCTAATTAATCGCTTAAAAAAAAACTGGAATGATTTTTGTTCTATATTTGTTTTGCTAATTTAGCCTTGGTGTCACCCTCTAAATTGTGTCACCCGGTGCGGTCCGCATCCCTCCTCCGCTACGCCTCTGCAACACGACACTCTTTATTAAATGAGACACCCTATGACTACTTTACCACATAGGGGTCATCCATAAATGACGTCACACTCGTAGGGGGGAGGGGGGTCCGTAATTTTGTGACGATGTGTGATGAGGGGGGAGGGGGGGGGGGTCAGATGTTGCGACGTCACATTTTTGCATTATAAAAAAGCAATGTTAGAAAACGAATTTTAGACGTTATTTCGCGTTTTAGATAACTGTTTTAATAAATTGTAATAGTTTAGACAAGATTTTGGAAAAATATCGATGTTTTTAAAAAATTCAACTGCAATTTTTAGGGGGGTTGTAGGTTGAGGTGTGACGTCATTTTAGGGGGGGTCTGGCTTTTTTGTGACGACGTGTGACGGAGGGGAGGGGGGGGAGGTAAAAATCGTCAAAAAAAGCGTGACGTCATTTATGGACGACCCCATATACTATCAGCTTGCCTATCTTATTAATGACAACTAGAGTCCAGCTTTTTAGCCCCGGTCCAATTCAGTTAATCAGCGAACACGTAGCGCCTCTACTATTCTGTTCCCTACATAAAATATTTACTATAGGCCTACATAATTTTGATGTGCTGAATGGCTTGGTAAAGTTATTTAATTGTTCAGTTAGTATTTCAATGAAAATTATACCTATATATTTTTTTTTAATTTTTAATGGCGGTTTTGTATACAAAACATATATCATTAATACGTTTAGTTGATGATAATATCATGTGAACTTACAAAAAAAATCTCATCCCCCTCTCTAGTCCACACACAGTGGCGTAGCTAAGGGGAGGGTGGGTCTGGCGACTGCCCAGGGCGCCAACCCTATTGTGGCGTCTAAAGAGGTATAAAAAATTGAGGAGATCATTTCCCTCAAAGAAACGTGATCGTCGAAGTTAAGTTGAACATTAAAAAAAAAAACAAGGGAGACAAATAAAAAATACAACCATTACTATTTGTAGAAACAAAGATGGCGGCACCTACTTTTGATATTGCTAGAGAAAAAGCTCTGGCCGATTATAGAAAAAGACTTCTGGAACACAAAGAACAAGAAGCAAGACTTAAAGAAAGTGAGTTAAATAAATTTCAAAGTCTAAATTATATTACTTTGTATTATAGACAGCAAGTCAATTTGCTTTCAAAACTGCAAAATCATCGACACCTATTATCGATAACGGCTAGTCCTACCGAACACTGCCTGCAGTAACACTCCTAACGGTCAAGAGTAGTAACATACTGATTGTTCTACTGGCTATTTCGTTACCTGTAACGCAATTTACATGCGGCAGTTACTGTTGAATAGTGCTACAAATTAGCGATGATTGCTTATACCAGTGTCTGACAATATGTTCTTCCGGCCAATTGTCTGCGTTGTACCGTGAAGTCTAAAAATAAAACGTCAACAAACTCACTGTGGCCTAAATAGGTCGCGCTAGGCACCGAGACAACAGAGATGTGTAGTTTTTGTAACATAAATACTCTTTGCATAGTGATTATGAAAATAATAGGATTTGGAGAGGTGCCATAACAAAAAAAAACTATCTCCCTTCATTATCATTAGTGCTAATTAATTAATTAGCTTAATTACAATATGTTAATTATGTTAATTATGCTAATTACTTCGTTAATGCACTTGTGGGTTCGTTTATAAGGTGTGTTTTTTTTTTAAATTTTTTTTTGTCTTGAAAAGGCTTCTTGAACTTAAATATTATCATGACCAAATTAATTAATTATGATTATGTTAATCCAATGATTAACCTAATTAATTTGATTGTTTTATTCAGATGTCTATTTTATAGTTGAATAGTTTGATTAATTTTTCAATTAATTATACAAGTACCCAAAATTATAATTATAAACATTCCTTAAAATACCCAATTGTGTTGTGGCTGGGGTAAATCACCGTAAGAGGAGTGGATAGGTGTATTCTGGCAAACATGCATATCTGAATTAGGATTTATTTCAGACATTTTTTTTTATGGAAGATAAAGAATGCTTAAAATAGATTATTTACATAGGTCAACATTTAATTTTTATTCTGTACTTTGTGGGGGGGGGGGGGTGGATACACCCCCTCCCCCCCCCCCCTCACCAAGCGTGGCCAGGTCTGAGATATTCTTAAACAGTATTATTTTTTAAACAGCCTACCACCCCTCCCCGACCCGAACATAATAGACAACGATCTATAATACTTTATAGAACATACATATATTTTACTAATTCCCCCCCCCCCCCCTTCTACGTGGGACATAGGAATCGTCCATAAACATCGTCACATTTCAGAGACGGGGGGTGGGGGGGGGTGGTGTTCACAATTTTTATGATAAACTGTGGGGAGGAGGAGGTAAACTTCGTCAAAAAAGTGACGTCTTTTAATTTATCCATGACCACTGCGTGTATATTGATTATTAAATTCCAATCCCAATAAAATGTAACAAAAATCGTTTGACCGCGTAAAATAATCGTGGTTATAAATATGTCCATGTATTTTCTTTTTTCGTATTAATAACATAAATCAGGCCTTTTTTGGTGCTTGAGAATCTTTACAAAGCAGTACAAGGTCAAGGCCATATGCAAATTTGCTTACGTCACTTTAAGTAGGTGAGAATAAAAAGCACACAGCACTCATCAAATTTTTAAAATAAATGCCCTCCTTTTCAAACATGTTTCTTGTAAAACGTATAGACATACATAAAACAAAATGTGTTCACATTTTCTTAACCCTTACCCACTTCCATTTACAAATATTTTAAAAAGGTTATCCTTATGTCAGGGCCAACTAATTAGGCATAGGCCCCAAACCAATAAAATATATTATTACTATTAACATCCCGGGCCGAATGTGTGTTACACCTAGAGCCCTAGACCTACACGTCTGAGCCTTCGAGGGTCATGTGGTGATAAAATTGCAGATCTAATTAATATTCATAAATGGCGTTGCAATATTTTTTTCTGCATGGATATGATGTCGTATTTTGTAAGTAGGATAATTTTTTTCCTTTTTATTAATTATCTATACCTACATCAAAGCGTTTAATCAATAAATTCAGCCGCTAAGCCGCTTTTCATCGAAATACTAGATTTAGATGTCGGGTGTCCATCTAAACTTTTGAGACATCACGTGACCTCATTTTCCCGCCTTGACCACTTTGCCATCGATCGGTTACAGTTTAAAATTAATTACATACCAATATCCCCACGTTCTAGATAATGCAAATTTAAAACAATGCAGCATTTAACACCTTTGTCTATAAAGTTAACGTTGCTTTGTGGCTTTACGTTAAGAAATTATATTTTGGCATTTAGCTGCGCGGGCTAGCCTAGATCCGTGCTTTGACCTAATTTGGAACACGTGCCGCGCAACTCTCTGCGGTGTGCTGTTGACAACTTTGTTTGCATGCTTTACTTCAATACGCAATAAAATATGATCAAAATAAATTTATTGTCTGTTTTCTTTGTATTATTTACATACTTTCGGCATCGGCCGATGAAACACGCACTTTATAAGCGTTTTGGTAGACTTGACAAAATATTAATGCACGAAAAGGCAAATATTTAACAATGATTGCTTTTTCGGACGGCAATATTTTGAGATTTTGTGGCGTCATCATTGAAAAAAACGACTATCTCCATTTTTTAAAAGGGTCATTTTTCCCTCATTTTGAAAAAACGCGTTGCGATTTGAACTATAAATTAAATTTAGGCTTCAAAACCGCGGTTTGACACACCGCGCTGATGACGTCACGCCTTACCAAAACGCTTAGAAAGCGCGTATTTCATTGGCCGATGCCGGATGTAGTCAAATCCCGGAGACTGGTATAAGCAATTAACCCAAATTAGGTTTAGGCTTAATTGTATCTCCCCTTTCAATTTACAAAATTGTCATCATTGTTTTGAAATGTTTTGGTTTTGGCCAAGTTGTTTTGGACCTAGTGTCCTAGAGTAACATTACCAGCCCCGAACACCTTTAGCCCGAAACTGAGACTCCTTTCCGGTTCGAGACACCTTATTTTGTTACTATTTGACATAGAATGAAAACCAAAGCATAGAAATACTCTCCAGCCAAAGAAGAATAAAAATATGTATTCCCTTTTTTGGAAATCTATCGTTTTGGGTACGTAAAATTGCCAGCGGCTATTAATGTACGAATAAGTTACCTCATTGTCAAGGCTTTAATAGAAGTATATTGTGATATATTTGTGTCATATATTATAGATAAATGAATAATAAACCTAAATCAATGGCAAAATATATCAATATATGTTAGAAATTAACTTTAAACAGCAGTGTTTGCGAGCAAGATTTGCTATATTAACAGCAGCCATTTGTAAAATAGAGTGGCTTCCCCCTGAATCTCTGGCTATATCCGCTATAAGTTTACAAAAAAAAAACTTAAACAAGATGGCTGCTATAGTAAATGAGCATGGTTGCATCTGTTGGAAACATCGCTAGTCTTCATTTATTACTGAAATTTTTTAATTCAAATGTTTAAAAACATGTACATAAATGAAACAAGGAAACATTTTTGTATTTTTCAAAACATAAATCCTCCTCAAAATGTGAAATAATTATTAAAATTTAAGGAGTCACCTGTTTTTCACATCACTAGTCGCGGGCGATTTTACGTACCCAAAACGATAGATTACCCCTTTTTTTTCCATTAGCAATATAACTTTTAAATTTTAAATATATGCCCCCAAAACAGACGACCCAGTCGTCCTGGACCCGAATACAATTTTCCCGGTTTTGCCTCCAAACGACTGGTCTTTCCTCCATCCGACTAAGTCATATTTTTGCTGTTTTTTTCAACTTAGTTGAATAAATAATCTTGTAATATTTAGAATTTTATGTGTTTAGTTTTGTGTTTCAGTGTGTATTTGTTTTTAAATGCCAAAAATAATATAATTTATAACAATGGGAAAAAAAATAATAGGGGAGATAACTTTTCCCAATAAAATGCTTGTGTTATGGTTTACTATGGGTAATCATTTCCAGGCACTACACGTAAATTTTCATCCTCCTTACCACTACCCCAAAAAAAAATTATTTAGTAAAGAAAATAGCATTTTCTATAAAATAAACATTGTTATAAAAAAAAAGATAAGTCGGGAGGAGGCTTTGCTTGTCCCGGCAACATAAAAATGGCCGCCTACATGACGGGTTGCTTTTAATTGCTCATATCCCGCTGTGAGTAATTCAATGGATCAAAGTTTGATATAAATGGACTTATAAATGGACATATTTGCTACCAATTATAATGTTTCTGTATAAAACATTCAAATAACAGTGGATTTAGTATTTAAAGTGAGAGTTACGGAGTTGTTCGTTTCGGGGCGCATAGTCGGGCCAGGCAGAGTTACTCTAGATCTAGCTAGAGATCTAGTCTTATAGATTTAGGTCTAGATCTATGTTATAAAGTTGGTTGACCCACACTTGAACAAAGGATGGATGTCTTACACAATTTTTAATTTGGCCTAAATTATTTTTTAATGTAACTTATTTCATGGCAAAGTAGATCTATAGACCTATCCATTCAAGGTCACAAAACACTTAATTTAAGGCCAAAGCTGACTTCGAGCTTGAAATAATTTTGACACTCACAAAAATTTATTACTAATTTAAGTAATTTTATGGCTGTCACAAACTGTTAAAAATTGACTGCAATTGCTGCATGCTGGTCAATAATCAATGATCTATGAAAGCCTCACGGTTTCATGTGTTCAAGTTTGAATTCTTAACGAAAAGCATCCATTTCTTTATAGTCTCAGACTTAATTTCAGTTTGCTGCATTAATAATTATATTTAGCAGAAGTCAGCGTGATGTGGAGCTATTTAACTAATGTAGTAGTAGTAGTGAAACTGAAACCTAGGAAGCTCCCATTGTTGTTGTTAACGATCATCATGCCAATAAATGTCATGAGCTATTCTACTCTAACTGCTAACATCTATCATAATAGCAATCGTCAATAAAAATTTTAATTAAGTTATTTCCTATATTGCCCTATTCCATTAGAAAGTATTATATCCATTATAAGGTAACAAAACACAAAAATAAAGGCCAAAACTGACATTGGGACTAAAATAATTCATTTGAAAAATTTTAATAAATTAATTCATGGCAATAAAAATTATACCATTTTAAAATCCATTCTATTGAATTTCTCCCAGTCCATGGATAGAGTTAAATATAAACTTTAAACAATAGTATCCTAAGGGATCTATTTAATACAACATCAACAATAACCACAAAACACTATCTACCATAAACTTAATGGTAAGTAATGCCAGGTCTGTATAATGGCTCTAGGCCAAATGGACCTGGGTTTGAATAATGTTCTGTGTACTTGGGTCACAATAGCCATTTCTTATTATTTTATATAGGACCACCTAGAATCTGGTACAGTAGTGGTGGCAGATCTAGTTAAATCAATGCATTTTAAAATTTAACCTACTCTACAGTCAAGTATATCCTTTGCAAATAATTATTAAAACATGAATTTCCATGCTTAAATAAAATAAAGGACTGAAAGAATTAACTTTAAAAAAACACCTTAGTAACTAATTTAACCTACATAGTCCTAGTTATCAGTTTATTCCCTGTCTTAAGTTATGAAAGTAAAAACTCCCTTCATATGCTGTGGTCACAATCAGTTTAACAGATTAAAACGTAACACACTAGCAGATTTTATGTTTATTTTACTATAATCACTTGGTTCTTTAAGTTCTGTTGAATAAATACACATATAATTTGCATTGAAAAAAATTTAAGCTATCAATAATAGATATCAAGACATTGATTTTTGTCACTTCCAAAAGTAAAGCTCCAAGTGCTGTTTAATAAGTTAACTTAAATTATCCTGATATATTAATAAAGTAGCATGCTAAAACAAAAGTACTAATTCTGTTATATAGTTTAAGCTAGATACTTTGAACAAAAGTTTATTTGTACAATTTATTAGATTTACTTCCATACATTTGCTTCATTAGTTCTAATAAATGAACTTGTTTTTGGCTCTCTAATTTTTCTTTTAGTTCATTTTAAAGCACACAAAAAATAAAGGTAGGAAATCCTGAGATGTCTTTTGACCCTATTTATAAATTACTGTATTAAAATATTTCCAAGAAATAACAGCCATTAGTAAAATTGTTCTGTGTGGTCCAATGACTTTGAATACACCATCATCTGAACTTTTACTTTAAGTCCGCTAGAGTTGTCCAATTATAACGTTTACCAATGAGATTAAACAGAGCTTCATTCATTGGAGTCACATGTTTTACAATCAGCTTGACGATCTTGTCACTGATATCAGGGTGTTCTCTCCCCTTGTTTTTGTTCAGACATCCTGATTCATAGTCTATTTTGAGGACTTCTGCCACTGCATGGTACCTCGGGTGTGATTTATTAAAGCAATAGAAACCTTTTTCAGCGCTGAACACAAAAAATTCTTTCGTAAAAGCCGGTCGTAGTCCAAGAAATTGTTCGACCTCCTTCATGACAGAGAGTGGATCTTCCTCTAAGTCTTCTTCAGATAACACTAAAACTTGTTTTCTTGAAAATATATCATACGCATTTTTGATGTAGATTTGATAGTTTATTTTACTAACAGAGAATAAATTAATGTGGTTCAGCCATTGTTCAAACGTAACATTAAATGTTTTGGGATTACTATGAGCTCTTGTATGACAGTATTGAGACTGTAGCTTTGTTACAGGATCTCTCACAATGACAATCAGTTTAATGGAGGCGTTAAAATGATAAATACGGTCAAGTGACTCCTTTGTCATGATGTATCCAGGCGTCTTCTCCACTGTAATCTGATGTTCATAAGATTCAGGCATTTGTTCAATATACCACTGAAGCCCCTTGTTGTAATAGGTACTGAAAAAGCCCACCTCCATTTTAGCTGTGACGATGTCTGGGTGTAGCGACATAAAAGCCTTTAAGGCATAAGTTCCGCATTTAGCAAAGCCAATGATGAGGCATTTAGGTAGTCGCTTCTGGAAAAGTTTTCCAGGTTCAGCTACATCAACTGTTGTCATCTTGTTGCCCACATCTTCTTTGTTCTGCTGGGTCTTGATGAGATTTTTTTCATACACCTGTATGAATGTGGTATTAACTGGTCTGTTACGAGGAATATGTCCCAAAGGAATCTGCACCAATATCACAACCAAGATGGTACCACAAATTAATAGAGTAAATTTTCTGTGATCCATAACAGTAGTCTCTACAGTAAATAGTATAAGCCTGCAGTAGTTTTATAAATAAACCAGAAATTTTAAAAAATATGTTGCTGCAGGCAAAATGTCACTGTAAAATCTGAACTGATTATAAAAGTTTTATGGGTATATCTAAAACCAAAGTGGGAGTGGTCTCCCTTGTCTTTTGTAACACTTGAAGAGTACAGGTGTGAAATTAGGTGCTTTGAGATATGATTTATGACATTATATTTTAGCCACCTGTCTAGCAGGACATCAATTATGCTAGCTTAACAAAGATAGTTTTAAAAAAAAATCAAATTTTAGAAATTATATTTTTTGTTCTTCCGTTGACAGACGTTAAGGATTACTTGATAACACTCTAGTTCCCATTAAATTAATAAGTGTAAGACAGTTTGTGTGATTCATTTATTTTTTAACCATATTATATTTACAAATTCAGAGATTTATTTGCTAAAAATTATTTTGACATGTATGTTGTTCACACTCTTCATTGCATATTATATTGTCATGTCCAAATTCTTTTGACACCGGGAAATACACACATTGTTTTCATTGAATACTTAAGCTATCAATATAATTTGATAAACTCACTCAAGACATTGATTTTTGTCACTTTCCCATAGAAAGTCTAAAAATGTGGTTTGATAAGTTAAATATAGTTGTCAAGAGAAATTAATGAAATTGCAAGCTAAACAAGATAAAAGTACTAAATGTTATTTATTGCAAGATGGATACTTTGACGTAACATTTATCTTCACAGTTTATTAGATATTTTTCATACATTGTCTTATTATTGCTAATATTATTCACTTGTTTTTGGCTTATAAATAGTCCTAAATTATCTCTCAGTTATAAATCACTGTATTAAAATACTTCCAAGAAATGACAGCCATTAGTAAAATTGTTCTGTGTGGTCAAGTGGTCAACTTATTTGTCAGTAATCACTCTGGAAAACTTGCATCAAGAGCTAGAACACAATTAATGCCAATGTTTATTGTGGTGAAATATGATGACAATAGTGTCTCTGGATATATGTGCCTTTTAAATTTAAAAAACTTTATGATGATGTATGACTATCTGTATACATTCCAACTTTTACTTCAAGTCCGCTAGAGTTGTCCACTTATAACGTTTGCCAATGAGATTAAACAGAGCTTCATTCACTGGTGTCACATGTTTCACAATGAGCTTGACGATCTTGTCACTGATATCAGGGTGTTCTCTCCCCTTGTTTCTGCTAAGACATCCTGTTTCATAGTCCACATTGAGGACTTCTGCCACTGCATGGTACCTCGGGTGTGATTTATTAAAGCAATAAAATCCTTTTTCAGCGCTAAACACAAAAAGTTCTTTTGTTAAAACTGGTCGTAGTCCAAGAAATTGTTCGACCTCCTTCATTACAGAGAGTGGATCTTCCTCTAAGTCTTCCTCAGATAACACTAAAACTTGTTTTCTTGAAAACAGATCGTAAGCATTCTTGATGTAGATATGATAGTTAATTTTTTTAACAGATACGAAATTGATATCATCCAGCCATTGTTCAAACGTCACATTAAATGTTTTAGGATTACTATGAGCTCTCGTATGACAGTATGCAGACTGTAGCTTTGTTACTGGATCTCTTACAAGGACAATCAGTTTAATGGAGGCGTTAAAATGATAAATACGGTCAAGTGACTCCTTTGTCGTGATGTATGTAGGCGTCTTCTCCACCGTGATCTGATGTTCATAAGATTCAGGCATTTGTTCAATATACCACTGAAGCCCCTTGTTGTAATGGGTATTGAAAAAGCCCACCTCTAGTTTAGCTGTGACGATGTCTGGGTGTAGCGACATAAAAGCCTTTAAGGCATAAGTTCCGCATTTGGCAAAGCCAATGATGAGGCATTTAGGTAGTCGCTTCTGGAAAAGTTTTCCAGGTTCAGCTACATCGGCTTGTTTAATCTCGTTGTTTACATCATCTTTGTTCTGCTGTGGCTTGATAAGGTTTTTTTCATACACCTGTGTGAATGTGGTATCAGCTGGTCTCATGCTAGAAATATATCCTAAAGGAATCTGCACCAGTATCACAAGTAAGATGGTCCCACAAATTAATAGAGTCAATTTTTTGTGATCCATTGCATTGGTTTTTGAAATAAACAATGCAAGCCAGAAGAAATTTGTTTTAAATTTGTTGGTGCAAGTAGATCTAAATGTCACTGTAAAATCTGACCTGATTTTAAAATTATGATAGATATAGCTAAAACAAAAGTGGGAGTGGTTTCCCTTGTCTTTGTTTAACACATGAAGAGTACAAGTGTGAAATTAAGTGCTTTGAGATTTGATTTATGACCTTGTAGTTTAGCCACCTGTCCTACAGGATGTCAATCAAGATAGATAATCAAAAAATCAAAATTTAGCAGGTAAATTGATTGTTCTTCTGTCCAAAGCATACTTGTGTTTATTAATTGAAAACTTAGAAAGTTGGGGCAGCGAAGTAACCTTGTCTAATTATCATGTTTCAGGGTTTTATTTGCAGGTGATTTTCTTGCTATGTTAAGTTTAAATTTTGTTTACCCTCTTCAGTGCGTGAGAACTTGAAGGAGTTGACCAAACAGTATGATAAGTCTGAGAATGATCTGAAAGCTTTACAAAGTGTTGGGCAGGTGAGATCATTACTTATCATTTATTTTATAATTACATATAATTTTATTCATTGGCGAGAAAAGCTCTTGTGTTTTCATTGATATTTGGATACATATGTCATTTTTTTGATAGGTTGGACAGATACTTGATTTGATTGTTGAGCAAATGAGAAGTATTTGTGATTGGTTAAATAGGTAACATTTATGTTGACACAATTGATCTAGGTTTCTGGTGTTGTTCTGAGACTGATGGATTCAAATTTAGATCTAATTTAGTTGGTATTTTTTAATTACATCATAAATTGTGTATTCTAACTGTGGAGTATGTTTAAAATGACTCCCTTTTCCCTTGTAGATTGTTGGTGAAGTGCTCAAACAGCTAACTGAAGACAAATGTAAGTTGTAGCATATCCTCCATGTAAACAGTTCCTACTGTTGTGAGCAGTTTATAACTAACATTAACATGTCTTTATCCAATGAAACTCAAGTTATTTTTAGACAGCAGAGCGATTTTTTTTTCTATGAGTTTGTGACTTTATTGCTAGGCTAGAAAATATACAAAGACTAAACAAAAACTAGTTTTATTTAAGATGCTGGAAAGCAATAGTTGTAGTAAAATATGCATACTACTTTTTGAAAAAAAAAATTAATTATTAATTATTTGATTTTTAAATACAATGTGCTGCCTCATCAGTTAAATTACTCTCTTGTGTTGGGAGTCTAATGTTTTTAACATGGCTGTTATTTAGTTATCGTCAAGGCAACCAATGGACCTCGTTATGTGGTGGGGTGCAGGAGACAGCTGGACAAGACAAAGTTAAAGTCTGGGACAAGAGTGGCCTTGGATATGACTACACTGACCATCATGAGGTTGGTCAACTTTCCAAAGTTTTAAAACATTAATAGATAGTAGATAAGAAAGTTATTTTATGTTTAAATGCTCCGTTATTTGACATAAAAGTACTTCCCCTTTCAAACTGCGCTCCATGGTGTAGATAAAGTACAGTTAGACTATGCGTCCCGTGTTACTTGACATAGTAAAGATATTTCATTTGGAATTTTAAATCCCTTTTTAAAGAACGCTCATAATCTTAAACTAGATTTTAAAATATAAATCTTGTATTACTCAGATTTTGTCTATGTAGAATTTTCATTTTTATTTGCACCACTTGTATATTTGGGTTATTCCCCCAATAAGTAGATGAAATTGTTGTTATGATATTGAAAAGTAATCAAGTCATTGGAGTTGATCCTATAGTGTTCCAACATTAAATCTTGTATTTTACATGAAGGTATCTACCCCGTGAAGTTGATCCTATAGTGTTCCAACATTAAATCTTGTATTTTACATGAAGGTATCTACCCCGTGAAGTTGATCCTATAGTTTTCATACATTAAATCTTGTATTTTACATGAAGGTACCTGCCCCGTGAAGTTGATCCTATAGTGCTCCAACATTAAATCTTGTATTTTACATGAAGGTATCTACCCCGTGAAGTTGATCCTATAGTTTTCATACATTAAATCTTGTATTTTACATGAAGGTACCTGCCCCGTGAAGTTGATCCTATAGTGCTCCAACATTAAATCTTGTATTTTACATGAAGGTATCTACCCCGTGAAGTTGATCCTCTGGTGTACAACATGTCAGTTGAAGATCCTGGAGACGTTTCTTTCAATCAGATTGGTGGGCTGGGTGAACAGATCAGAGAACTTAGGGAGGTGAGACCTTTAGTTTAGGGAGGTGAGACCTTTAGTTTAGGGAGGTGAGACCTTTAGCTTCGGGAGGTGAGGCATTTAGTTTAAGCCTAGGGAGGTGAGACCTTTAGCTTAAGCCTAGGGAGGTGAGACCTTTAGTTTAAGTCTAGGGAGGTGAGACCTTTAACTTAAGCCTAGGGAGGTGAGACCTTTAGCTTAAGTCTAGGGAGGTGAGACATTTAGTTTAAGCCTAGGGAGGTGAGACATTTAGTTTAAGTCTAGGGAGGTGAGACATTTAGTTTAAGCCTAGGGAGGTGAGACATTTAGTTTAAGTCTAGGGAGGTGAGACATTTAGTTTAAGCCTAGGGAGGTGAGACATTTAGTTTAAGTCTAGGGAGGTGAGACATTTAGTTTAAGCCTAGGGTGGTGAGACATTTAGTTTAAGTCTAGGGAGGTGAGACCTTTAGCTTAATCCTAGGGAGGTGAGACATTTAGTTTAAGCCTAGGGAGGTGAGACATTTAGTTTAATTCTAGGGAGGTGAGACATTTAGCTTAATCCTAGGGAGGTGAGACATTTAGTTTAAGTCTAGGGAGGTGAGACCTTTAGCTTAATCCTAGGGAGGTGGGACATTTAGTTTAAGCCTAGGGAGGTGAGACATTTAGTTTAAGCCTAGGGAGGTGAGACATTTAGTTTAAGTCTAGGGAGGTGAGACCTTTAGCTTAAGCCTAGGGAGGTGAGACATTTAGTTTAAGCCACTGCTGGTGTTATGGAAATAACTGAATTAACGCATCAATTGGCTTGTTATTTATCCAGAGGGCAGAATGATGTTGATGATATGCTTTTTGTTTAAATATTAGCAATATATTTTTTATTTACCTTTTAACCTCACAAACCATGATTGTACAACCCATAATGTTACAACTTATGATTGTAGCACCTATGATTGTATAAGATGATTGTACATAGCATCCCATGACTTTGACCAGGTGATTGAACTGCCCCTCCTCAACCCTGAGTTGTTCCAACGTGTTGGCATTACCCCACCCAAAGGCTGCTTGTTGTATGGACCCCCTGGAACTGGCAAAACTCTACTGGCGCGTGCTGTGGCTAGCCAGTTGGACTGTAATTTTCTTAAGGTACGGCTTTTATTTTCTAGTCATTTTCTTTTACTCTCTCTAGATTTTAATACCATACCCATTTTTTTTTTTACTTTCTCCAAGTCGGACTTTTCTTATGTAGGCATTTTTACTGTCATATGTGAAATTTTTATAAAGGTTTTACCTTGATGTTTTATTTTAAACCTTTAAAACAATTGATTCTTATATTTATTTTTTAACACTGGTAAATGAAAACTTGAATGTACAAACAGGTGGTTTCAAGTGCTATTGTAGACAAGTATATTGGTGAGAGTGCCAGGCTCATCAGAGAAATGTTTGCCTTTGCCAGAGACCATGAGCCTTGTATTATTTTTATGGATGAGATTGATGCCATTGGTGGGTAGTTTACCTTGTAGGCTGTTTAGTATTTTATACATGAACATAAACATGTTGATCAACATGATCAAAAATAACTGTTAAGAATGATTGAATAATTATGCTTTAATTAATATGGTCTGAGCTTCAAATAAATAAAAATAAAACAACAAATTAACATAATTAGAAAATAAAACTAAAATAATCCGATTAGAAAACAAAACAAAATGAACATGATCAGAAAAGAAATGTTCAGAATATTATATATTTAACATGGTCAAAAGAAGAAAAAAAAATTAACAATTATTAGAACAGTAGAGCTACAATAATTCATGTGATTAGAAAACAAAATTACATTAACATGAACAGGAAATAAAATAACGCAATCAGAAAAATATAAATTAACCTGATCATTTGTTCTAGGTGGTAGAAGGTTTTCTGAAGGAACATCAGCAGACAGAGAAATTCAGAGAACCCTGATGGAGGTATGTAACTGTATGTTGATCTTTACTTTAACGAGCCACTGCATATATTATTCTACATTCAGGTTAAAATATGAGTCAACAATTATAACTTACATGAATATGCTTGTTGGTTTTATTTTATAACTTAATCTTAAACAGACGAAATGTAAAGAAGAAATATTTTCATATTAAATTGCATAAACTTGTTTATTTTAGACTCTCACTTAAGTGTTATTATTCTTAAACAATCTTTGTAACAACTAAATCTGGACCATAACAGTAAAAACTACATGTACATTATTGTTTACTCTCTTTAGTTGTTGAACCAAATGGATGGCTTTGATGCCTTGGGGCAAGTCAAAATGATAATGGCAACCAACCGTCCAGACACTCTAGACCCTGCGTTATTACGACCTGGTAGACTTGACAGAAAAATTGGTAAATATTCTTAATTTTTAGTGTTCAGTTTTCTATTATTTAGTCAAAATGTTCACTTGAATCTTTTACACATTAATTTAAAATACACATTTTTAGCATCATACATATTGAATAGCATGATTTCTGTTACTGTTTATTTCCAATGTGCTTTTATCTTAGAAATATCCTTGCCAAATGAACAAGCCAGATCAGAAATTTTAAAAATCCATGCCAATCCTATAGCTAAGCATGGAGAAATAGGTGAGCAAATTAGTATTACTTATTTACATTCAAGATACTGGTGTAAGGTACTTATAAATGCATCAGCTAGATTGACACATTTGAGGAATATTTTGCATATATCACCGAACCATAATTCTCATATAATTCCTAATTCTAACAGCCATACCACATTAAATTCTATATTGTCCTACCAATGTTTATATTTTACCTTGTCAAATTCTATTAACTTAAAATATTTCAGATTGGGAAGCAGTTGTTAAATTGTCTGAAGACTTCAATGGAGCAGATCTGCGTAATGTCTGCACAGAAGCAGGTAGTTGCCTCCATCTAGTCATACCATCTTTACACATTCCTCTCCCCAGCTTCACAGATCCCCCTCTAATGGACAAATGGATTATCCCTAGCACATTGTTTATTCAATTACTGAAGGTTCTGAACATTTTGTAAAGATTGCTAGGGACAGATGAGCTTCAGCTGGTAAAGGCTATTATGGGCTTGCAAGTGAGGGGGGGTGTGACAACACTGGTTGAAGTATTTTGTTTTCTATTTTTCATGGGGGGGTGGGTGGAGGAGACTGACACAATCAACAATCATTACTTCCTCCCCACCCCCTTAGAATTAAATTTAATAGATTAACTTTTGCTGGGCATTGTTTTTTGCTTGGCTCAGATATATCACTTTATTTTACAATACATTCTCTGTGTCCAGGAATGTTTGCAATAAGAGCAGAACGCGACTACGTTATAGAGGAGGATTTCATGAAAGCTGTGAGGAAAGTGGCAGACAATAAGAAACTGGAGAGCAAGCTGGACTACAAACCTGTGTAAATCATGACCTTAAAGACTATTTATTTCACTATGTGAGGTCAAGCAAGGATGGTGAGAAGTTGGGATTTTTTCTCAAGAATCACTTCAATGTTGGCTGGTTTAATTTGGTTTTTCAAATAAATTTTTTTTCATTTGTTGATTCGTCTTTTTACTTTATTATTGTAACCATATTTTAATTAACCAATTAGAACAAAATGCTCTTAAAGTATATCATTCAGGTCATTACTCTGAAAGACATTGAATTTGCCTTTTGTAAGTCTACTCAGTTGAAATCCAATCTTTTAACACAGCTACCCCATACTTAGCTATGATCTTCAACATTCACTATTGTTTACATGGGGATTTGACTGCATTGTTGTCTATTACACTCCTCTGTGACCAATGTCAATGTTTCAACAAGTAAAGCACCTTTAAAGATACAGTGGTCAATGGGGCTAATAGCTCGTCATCTTCTGTGTATGTCATGATGGTTCAGCATACCCATCCACCTCTACTTTTCCCTGAGTCTGGTCTCCATCAGCACAGCATAAAAATATGTAATCACTGAGTCTGTGAATTACTTTCATGTTCTGACTTAATCTTTCTGCATGAGATTTGAGCTGACAAAATCTAAATGACCAGTGTAAAGTTCCCTTTTTGAACCTGTCTGTCCATAGGGCAAGTGATGCAGAGTTCACCTGTTTCTGTTATCTTTCCATATGAAAGGATAGCATGGTCAGAACTATGCTAAGCCACCTTTACTTCCCCTGAGTCAGATGCCTATCAGGGACGGTGTACTGACTTAAACCTGGATTAGAACTCGATCCTTTTGGGTTAGCAGTCTAGCGCTCTACCTCTTAAGCCATGCTGTCCCACTAAATCAGTGTAAGGAAAGATAAAATCAAATAAGAGTGCAATTAATGCATACAAACAGTACAAGTACCACATACAAATCCAATGGAACTGCATTCAGACACAAAACGTGCATACTAAAAAGAAGAAAATTGTGTTAATTCTTTAATTGCTAATATTATTGACAAATGAACATGTTACATGTATAATATGAATTAGTTCAGAGTATAAGGCTTATTGGTGCATAGTTCAAAGTATAAAAAAGTCAACCCATAACTAATATCAGGGCCTTAACTGGAACATATTCTGATGAACATTAACAACAACTAGAAATCTCCTCTAGCTGATTTCAAGTATTTAAAGTTACTCATCATTAAATAGAGGCCACACCTGTAGTCCTGTAATGTTTAAGTGAGTAATAATCTCTCAGGACCAATCAACCAACCAACAGCCTTTCCAACCAACGGTCATAGTTTTAGAGTTGAAGTCGTCATAACAGGAACAAACTTGTTTATATAAACAGTATAGACACATGTTGCATATTTAGATAAAACTGTATAAAAATGATGTGCAACCATTATTCAACAGTCAGACACATCTTTCACTTTCTGTGTAATCCTAGGGTAAAGCTGTAAAAAAAAATATACAACTTTAGCACAACATTCACAAGTACAAATATTCTCATTCTTTCTAGGATATCAATTACTAATAATAGCATACCATTTTAAAATTTCAAAAACTAAAGTTTTTAGCCCTATTGATTTTATTGATTAAATGCAACATTAATTAGAGACTACACCCATACATTTTATTACCTAATAAAATCTATTTGACTACAGCTCGACGGTGGGGATAAATCAATAATTCAGGTCAAGTTAAACACTTGAGAGAACACCTCCAGCTCTGACCTGCATTCATTTTTTAAATTCTCAGCTCTATTCCAGTATATACTTCCTTTAAAAATTCTTGAATGAGGTAACAATTATACGGCTATGGGGCAGATGAAGTAGAGTTCACCTGTAGAAATAATATGAAGGGATCGCGTGTTCTTACGATACCCAGCCACCTGTCCCTACCAAGATTGGACTCAGGGACATTCTACAGACGCAACCCCAGATTCGAACTCGAGACTTTTGGGTTAGCAATCATATGCTCTACAATCCTACCATGCCATCCCACACAGCCATTAAAGCTTACCCCTAATAAGTTACGTGGAATGTATCCTTCTTTCCCATTAAACTGCGACCACCACCATTCCTTCTCAAGGTCATCACCCTTCCTCAGCACTGTCAGCTTGTCTCCTGTTTGAAAGCTGATCTCGTCAACATTTGTAGCCTGGTAGTCAAATACACCATACACTTCACCATTGTTTATGATGCCTAATTTTTCTTGAATACCTACAGGAGAAAAAAAATTATTTTATGATCCTGGCTAAAAAAAAATTCTGTACACTATGTTATGTACCCTATTAAAATTTAGATAAATGTGTATGATAAAAGAGTTCATTATTGCTATTCAAAATTTAAAAGTTGCAAAACTAAGTAATACACTATAGGAGTTGCAGAACTATGCTATACACAATAGAATGATGTTGCAGAACCGCTATATACCAACGAAGGAAATTGCAAAGCTATGCTATACTTGAAAGCAGAAATACGTGATTTGTTATGGTAAAAAAATTCTTTTTTTAAAATTATAAATAAAGGAAAATGTAAAATCACTGATAAATCTTTTAGCTGGATTATTTTATACACCAATATGTTTAGACACAAATTGTAATTAATTCTGCTACTTGCAGGAAGGCCTTATTTTTACAATACAGATCATTTGTGAAACTATGCAGAAAACTAAAAGCTCTGGCAATATGAAAATCTAGATATATGATTAAAAACTTGGATGAGGATAATTAGCAATAATTTCAAAAGCTGTTAGCGTCATTACAGCAATGTAGGACAAAAGAATAAATCCGAGGAGAAATATTTTGGTCTTTGGAATTAAATTAAAAATCAAAATAGCCAAAATTTAAAACAGTATGTACATTTTTCTCAATAATTTTTTTAAAAATTGAAAAGGACAATTTTTAAAGACCTTTGTATTCTAAATTTGAAAACATGGAAAAATTAATTTAGTAGAAACACTACATTTTGTTGCTAATATTACGATTAATCTAGATGAAGATTTTAATAATTAAAATATTTTACTTTTAAAACCTTTTACAGCTGAACAATGTTTCAAAAAACAAAACACTAATCCACAACTGTAAGAATAAAACACAAAAACTTACTGTACAAATAATCTGAACAGCCATCATAGCCATCTTCATCCTCTTCACATTTCTCGGCAGCTGTTTCATGATCAGAGATGGTAGTGGCAAACACACAGGCACCATGTTCCACCAGGAACTTCACCATGGGCAGGTTATTACAGGACGCAGCACAGTGGAGGGGGGTCCTGGAACACATGTTAGGGACAAGGTTTGACTCAAGTTATAGTTAGGGACAAGGTTTGACTCAAGGTATAGTTGGGACAAGGTTTTATTCAAGTAATAGTTGAACAATGTTTTACTCAAGTTATAGTTGGGACAAGGTTTTACTCAAGTTATAGTTGGGACAAGGTTTGACTCAAGTTATAGTTGGGACAAGGTTTTACTCAAGTTATAGTTGGGACAAGGTTTGACTCAAGTTATAGTTGGGACAAGGTTTGACTCAAGTTATAGTTGGGACAAGGTTTGACTCAAGTTATAGTTGGGACAAGGTTTGACTCAAGTTATAGTTGGGACAAGGTTTGACTCAAGTTATAGTTGGGACAAGGTTTGACTCAAGTTATAGTTGGGACAAGGTTTGACTCAAGTTATAGCCAGGGACAAGATTTGACTCAAGTTATAGTTAGGGACAAAGTTAAAGTTGGTACAATATTTTATTGTACCCAATTTAGTTAAGTTCAATAATTTTACTCAAGTTAGGATAGTTAGGACAGTTAGGACCAATATTTTATACAAGCACATGGTGGGGGGGGGGGGGGGGGGTGCAAACAAATTGACTTGTGTGGACAAGGGAAGTGGGCTCAGGTCCATGTGTTGAATTTAATGTCCAAGCACTTGCGTTCAAAACAAACATAAAAGTGTATCCTGCATGTAAGATTTAAATTAAGGGGAGGAGCTTATATTTAAAAAAAAAAAAAACAGGCTGAGTGGGTAAATGAATCCCACATTTATACCTACACTATGCTTATCCATACAATTGTCACAACCTTTATCAATTTTTGCCTCCTCCCCCCAACTCAACATCATATGTGGTAATAAAATACTGGAACCAAACCTCAGAAATGATGTCACACCTCAGCTTACAAACCCGCCCAATAAACATCAATAGAATAAACAATATATTTACACTTTGACTCAAAAAACATACTACTTAGTTTTCTCAACACATGTGTCACAAGTGAGGATGGCAGGGGAGGGTCTAAAATTAAAAAACAAAACAAATTTGTGTACATAGTAAACGGATGACCCAATACTATTTTTACTGAAATTATAGTTTAGGGTACTATTTAACTCAAATTGTAGCTATGGTTAAAAATGTATTCCAGTTATGGTTAGGGAGAAAAATAATTTTACTCCTTTTTTTACATAAGTTTTAGTTAGGGGAAATATATTTCTAAAGTTATTTATTATAGCCATTTTGATGTCCAGCTTCTTTTAGAGTTCACACATTTGTTTGACTTTAAAATCAATACAGGCAAACAATACTACATTACGGAGTTGATCATGTTCAGTTTTTACAACATGAATAACAACCTGTCAAGCTCAAATAACGATCTTACCTTCAATTGAAGCAATAAATAATTATGTAAATCAATAGTTTTTAAAGGAAATCTTGATCCACTTAAATAAATTTTTCCTTGGCTATTCTTGAAAAAAACATGTCAATTTTGCATATTTATTTAAGGGCAGGTTAAACCACAAAATTGAAAATTAGGTGTAAGGACTTTTTTGAGAGATAAGGAAGTTGTAACTAACATAGAATATGAAAAAAATGCAATAAATCACTAAAAAGTTATGGTTTTAGTGAAAATATTTTCTAAAAAGTGTCATTTTAGGAGTAAAATTGCTCAAAATTAGCTCTCATTGCAATCACAATAACACAAGTTCTGTTTGTCAGAATGACATAAATCATAACATAGTGTTATATAGGACTACAAAAATACAAACAGGGTGAACTAAAACAGAAAATAATTTTTCTAAAAAGTGTCATTTTAGGAGTAAAATTGCTCAAAATTAGCTCTCATTGCAATCACAATAACACAAGTTCTGTTTGTCAGAATGACATAAATCATAACATAGTGTTATATAGGACTACAAAAATACAAACAGGGTGAACTAAAACAGAAAATAATTTTTAAAAATGGATTTTAGCTACATTTTTTAAATGTGAGACCTAAAAAATGTCAAAAAAGTAGGAAGTAGACTTAGCTTTTATTTTATAAAATGTGAAGTTTCAAAGATGTAGAAATGATTTTAGGTCAATAACGTCCTTACTCTAAATAATAAAAATGTTTTTAAAAAATACTAACAATACGTAATTAGGCGAAATAATTGTATAAAAATGTTCAGAATTGAATGTACTTTCAGAAACAATAGATTTTGAAAAATCAATATTTCTGACTTTAATATGTATTTTGGGGGGTTTAACCTGCCCTCAAGTCTACCAAAAAAAGTAATGAAAAAAATACCACTAAACTTACCAGCCATCACTGTCTGGTGAGTTGACATCACATCCAAACTCAACAAGGAACTTGACTATCTCAAGATGGCCAGCACAGATGGCATTATGCAGAGCTGTGATGCCCTCGTCATTGGGCATACTCACATCTTCAACCTGCAATAGATTGACATAAATATATAAGTAATATACAAACAGAAATATACATAAGTGACAGAACTATACAAATTACCATAGATATAAACAAAGTTCAATATATATAATTCAATTGAAATATACATACTTCAATGGAAATATATAAAATTTAATTAAAACATGCATACTTCAATAGAAATATACAAAATTCAATTGAAATATAGGCAATTGAAACATACTACGAAAATATACAGACTACATCAAAAAAATATTTTAAAAAAACTAGTGTATAGACACTTCACTGCAGAAATACAGAAACTAGCACACTAGGAAGTAACAAAATCGGAATTTAAATATGAGTATACCCACACTAAAGAAATAGTAGGAGAAGCAGAATCAGGCCAGAATAGAAATAAATATTTCAATTTCCAAAATGGTGGGTCATTATTTCTGAGGGGCATCCCAGAGAATTCATCCCAGAGGCAAAGAGAAACCTCATCTTTATGTTGTTTCTTCCTTCCACAGTGAGTTAACAGTCACACAGAATTTGTTTCAAACATATGAGTGAGATAAAACCTTAACCACTAGAAAAGTCAGTAGTGCATGGAGAGTTATCTAACCTGTACAGCCACTTTTTTGACCAGCTCCAGCTCCCCTTCTAATGAGCCATCCAACAAGAGGGCCAGCGGGTCAAAACTGACACGGTTCATTGACTTCCTGCTCCCCTCCTGCTTGAGGTTACTTTTACTTTTCCTTATCCTGATCAACTCAGGGAGTGTGGGGGTGCTGACAGGAGGAGGCAACTCTTCTGGTTTTTTCTCTTCCGCTGGCGTCTGCTCCGTCTGACTCTGCTGCTCTGGTACAGGAACAGCAACGCTGGCTTTGTCTGCTGGGCTGGAGTCTGATTTCTCTGCTACCTTGGTGGGGGTTGAGTTGCTATCTACAGCTTGCTCTATTTGGTTTTGTCTTTGGTTTTCTAGCTCTTGTGTCTCTTGCAGTACCCTGTTTACTTCCTCATTTTCACTGTCTGAATGTCTTCTACGAATATGCTTTGGTGTATTCAGTTTGTAGCTTCCTAAAAGAATGAACACACACAAAATGGAAATTTAATATATAATACATTAAAATTTAACAGTTTTTAGTGGAGAAATAGTTTCAGATTTTATCCACTAAATGACTTTAAACTATATTCAACCTTATGATTATTCAAATAATTTTTTAAAAGCATGAGATATTACCTTTATCTGAAGCAATGTCAGGATAGTTAGGGGACCTAACAACTCCATACTGTAGATTTTCTGAGGCAGCCGATGCGTCTGCTGTATGTGAAAATGACGTAGTTTCCTCCGCTCCCTTATCAAGCTCTGTTTTCTCTGCCTCTGTGTCTAAGCTCCTGTACAGCAAGTTGAGGTTTCTCTGGTATCTCTCCATGGCCGCAGTGCCCAGTCGCCCCATGTAGGTGTTGGCTATCTGGTTTTTAGAGGCGTATCTGTATGTTGGTGCTGGCTTCTGGTTGAGATGGAGACCACTGTTTGGTGACGGTTGCGACTGGGCAACATTTGATCCCATTTTGCCAGGGTTCACATCATCCTGGTCCACATCAGATGTTTTAACGCTGGGCTGAAGAGATGCCTCTGGGTGGGTTTTGTCTGAATTAAATCCACTGTTATGAATGGGTGGTGGTCGCCTCTGGGTAAAATTGGACCGAAATAAACCAGTTTTATCCATTTGACCATTGTTTTTGTTGAGTTTTTCAATTAAAGCTGACACAGATCCAATAGAAGAGGTGATCACCTGGCAAATTCATGAATAAATGTTTAAACAAGCACAGATGCATGAAATGTTTACATAAAGTTTACATTAAAATCATACCTGTTGCTTATAAAAGGAGTCTCAGTATACTTTTTACAATTAACTTTATACATTGACAAGGTTAAGATGAGCTAGCTATAAGGCCAACATGGACAATATATTGTTTCATGCCTGAACATTATAAATAGTAACTTAAAAACAGGTTTGATTGATAGTATGGTAAATATTCATGTAGTTATAAATGGTGGTCTGCTATTCAGTTTTACATCAAAGCTTCAGCATGTAAAATGATGTGCAAGATAAATCTGCCATACCTCTTCTCCTTTAGACTGTGACTTGTCATTGTCTGTCTCGCTGGTGGCTGGTGAACTCTGGCCACTCCCTGCCTGCCTCTCCTCCTCACTGATGCTTATGACAGGGTGTAGTCCAGGTTTACCCTGCTCTTTAGGGCTGCTGGCACTTGGTGGAACTTTATGCCCAGCCAGGTCATGAGGACTTTTATAGGCCTGTCCACTGGGGGCGTCGTCTGTCCTGTGCTGACTAGATGTGAGCTGATCCTTGTTAAAACCTGCTGGGTTTGAACTAACTTTGGTGGATAGACTTGGCTCACTGACACTGTTTAAATACGAGGATGGATGCTGCTTGTGGTACTGACTGTTTGAACTCAGTGTCCCTTTGTGATCAGAACTGACCACAACAGGAAGATTATAATCATCAAACTGACCATAATTGTTGTTTAATTCTCTTTTAATCCCAGTATTTTCTTCAGTTTTGTCATAGACAAACTTATCCTTATAGGGATTTACCCCTGTCTTCATTATCCCATTCAACTTAGTCCCAGTGTTGGCAGAGTTTTGAGTCTCAGAGTTTTTGATGACGTTTCCACCACCGTGTTCAGCCATCTGTTGTTCAAGCATCTTCTGTTTTCTCAGGCGTTGTTGGAGCTCAATTATCCTCGAGTCTATCCTCGTCACCTCCTCTTTATGTTGGTGCAGAAGTTTTTCTTTGGTGTAAATTGCATTGGATTGCTGTTCATTCAACCTGTTTCGTATCTGCCATGATAAATGTTTTATTTGTTATCAGACAAATAATTTAATTATTATCTTCTTATTGAGGAATGTGTTTGAGCAAATATTGCGATATAAAATTCCATACGTAAATTAATCAAATGTAATAGCTTAAATCAAAGGTTCACAACTATTGTAAAGTCATGCCCTCATTTCATTGTATCAAAGTGGCTGGCCACAATACATCCGATAAAGATGAATTAAATTAGTTTTACTATTGAGACTTAAAAAAAAGAGTTTATAAAATGTTTTTTTTTCACAATCAAAAGGAATTTTAAAATTAAAAACAAAAATCATTGGTTTGCATTTGATTTAGTACTATTACTTAAAAACTTCAATTAAAAATACTTTTAAATCAATGTCATTATTATTTAAACCTTGACCCCCAACCACAAACACTGATGTGACCCACCCAGTACCAAATGACCTCAACAAAAACAACACAACTAACCAGCAACTCTCTCCTGAGTTTCTCCAACTCTATAGCAGCATTAGCTTGTTTAGTCCCCAACAAGCCCTTGCCAACTCCACTTTTTAAATCCTTCAGCTGTCTGGTCAGCTGGTCAACCCTCGCTACTGCCATGGCCAACTCTTTTTCTTTTTCATTGAACAAAGCCTTGACAGCCTCTAGTTCAGTGTCTGTAACAAAAACATGAAAAACATGTGTGTACATTATGATAAGATCTAAGAAAAAATATTTACATTCATACAGGGATGTGACCAGACCAGGGAAAAAAATTAGGAAATTTTCTTCGGACAAGAACTCAACATTTTGTCTATTTTTTTAATCGCAGTTAAAGCAGTCTCACGCCATTACTGTTCTAATTAATCATTTAATATAGCTAATATTATAAATAAAACAAGTTATTATGTTACTCTAAAATGACATTGAAAGTCTTGTCTAATTGCAATTTATTGTTTAATTTATTAACAACTTTTGAAAAAAAATTACAATTACAATGTAACAAAAGTGGCAATTATGTTCAACATTTAGTTAATTTAAAGTGTACTAATCTAGTCTAGTTACACTTTTGTTTTCAATTTTAAATTATGCCTTACATTCTTTTAAAGATTGGCATGGAAAAATGTTAGTCTTCAACTGTAAAATGCCTAGATTCAGATTAATTGTTATTTGAAAGTTTTGGGTTCATGTGATGGAAAATGAAATCGACCAGATTAGCTGAAATTAGAAAGGGTCTGATATGTGAACCAAAGTTAACCATTTCGATAGCCAGACCACATCGTTATTTTGGTTTTTGGAATGGCTGTAAATTGTTTGAGGTCATACATAAATGACGTTACGTTTTTTTTTTACGATTTTTACCTCCCCTCTCCTCTCCATCACAAAAGACAGACCCCCCCCCCCTAAAATGACGTCACACCTCAGCCAACAACCGCTCCCCCTCCTCAAAATTGAATTTGAATTTTTTTTTAAACATCGATTTTTTTTCTAAAATATTAACTGAGCTTGACCAACGTAGGGTATTTTAATTAATTTGTATTACAATTTTTTTAAAGTTTTCTAAAACGCGTAATAGCGGCTAAAATTCAGTTTCTAACATTACTTTTTTAAAATGAAAAAATATGACGTCACACTATCTGATCCCCCTCCGCCTCATTACACGTCACAAAATTACGGATCCCCCCCCCCGCGAGTGACGTTATTTATGGAAGACCCCTTATTAAAAACAGTCCGTATCGTATTTTTTTCTTCGGAGTCACGTTGAGTTCAGTTTTTTTTTTTTTAATCTGTAGGCCTATAGCATAGGTATTGCAGGAACAGCTATTTGAAATTACTGTGACGTCATTCTAATTTTTTTCCCCACAAGCAATACCAAACACGTACTAGGGGGTCAAGGTGAGGTCACAAGAGCCACGGTTGCTACATGTGGGGGGGGGGGGGTGTAGTCTAGTCCTCATAGTCACCTTTTGCAAGGATTTTAATATTAATTTTAGATAGCTAAATAAAATAAAATCAGAGAGAAACCAGATTTTGGGAAGGTTAAAATACAGAAAGATAAATTAGGCTACATCGATAGCTAGATTACCAGGCTTGGGAGATGCGAGTTTCATTTGAAGAAAGGCATTATTTTAGATTACTTTTCCCGTGTTTGATAAATATTCAACTGATATCAGCGGAAACTTTGGACCAAAAAATTGCGTTCTGAAAAATACTGAAATTCGTAGAAATTCTGAATCTTAACCTAGATCTATATTTCATCTTAATCTAGCACCGTCAGACCTAGCGCAATCGTCTAATTAAAAAGAAATGTGCATATTTGACCTAAGTACTGTAATTCTCGATTTAAATACAAATATATGGAATGCGCAAGTCGGCCGTTTTCGTTTTTTTTCCTAATTTTTAAAACTTCGGCAAAAATAGAAAATCGGCGGAAAAATTCGGCAAAGATGAAATCAGCGGAGGAAAATTGCAGCTGAAACGGAAAAATCGGATTTCCGCTAAAATTCGGAAAAGTCACATCCCTGTTCATATTATATACGCAATCCTTTACAGTCTAATCTTTTTGTACAACAAGGGAACACAGATTTTAAAATTATTTTCCTTTTTTAAGTGAACTATTGGCACCAAACACACACAAAAACAAACAAAAGGGTAGAATTGACAAGCTTTGATAGGCCTGATAGATTTTAAAAATTCTTCTTTAGTTCAAATAAAAAAATTGAATAAAGTCTTCACTATAAACTAAAAACTTGTATGATATGTTGCTAAGAACAGAATGAAAGTGGAATATTCCATAATTTATTGTCTAGTCGTCAAAATTCTCATATAACAATGTCTTTTTTATTTCCAACAATATAAAAATCTCACTCCTTAAATAGTTACTCTTGTTTTAGTGTACCTAACTTTTTAATTAAACATCAGAGCATTTGCAATGCATTTTTTATTTATGGCAAATCCTATAGGCCTACAGCTTACCTAGTTACTATTAAATAAATAAACCTACTTAAATTCTCATTATTAGCTCTGTACTGTTCTGCTTGTCCTTTCAAAGCTCGCAGCTTTTTTAATTTCAGCTCCTGACTTTCAACACGATCCCTGATCTTTTTTAACCGCTCACTTTCAGATGCCACCTGGGCATGCCTAGCCTCCTGCTGCTTCAGATATTTTAGCCTCTGCTCCTTGGCCACTAGGACCTGCACAAAGAAACATCACACATCATTCTACTGTTTCATAAAGCTAATGTCTTCCACATTACAGACCAACAAAGTGTGGAGTATATGATTCTACTGACAGAGGCTCATACCTGCTGTTGTGATTCTATCTGTCTCTGTTGTCTGGATGCCATGTCTTGCAGCTCTGCTAAAGTTAGATCATTGGCATCCCCAGCCACCTATAAATAGAAATGTCACTCTGACATTAGGCCTTCTTTTGAATAAATGTTTTCATGCTGCTAGAATAATGATGGTAAGAAATGATATAATAAACAAAAAGAAGAGAAAACAAGTAGGCCTAATGTAATATTAAATATTTGGACTATGACAATGAGTTATTGATGCCACGCCATGGGCTTGTTTTATTTTATAACTATAATTTTTCTTTGATTCCATTTCCATTCTAGATCTAGAATCTATGTATTTAGACTATTTAGTAAGTAGATCTAGATCTAGGCCTAATCTAAATTATTTCTTCATTCCAATCTAGAATTCTAGAAGACGGTAGAAATCTAGACTACATCTAGATCTAATCAGGGGCGTAGCGAGGGGGGGGGGGGGGCGGGGGGTGCGTACCGCACCGGGTGACACCATTTAGGGGGGTGACACCAAGGCAAAAAATAGGGGGGGGTGCAAATCGAAAGTTTGAGGGGGGATGCAAATCG